ATAAATGAACAATGCAATTTAGGTTTGTCTCAACAAAATGGCCTTGCTAAACAAAAACTTGTGTGCGTGCGTGTGTATGAATGTGCTTTAAAGCGTGAAATGAAATGTTTCCCTTTTGGCCAGAAAAATTAATTTGCTCTCAAATCACCATAATATTTACGTATTAATTATTTTATTATAGACCTTTTTCGCAAGATCTTTAAAATTTAACAACACTCTAAATTTTTTTAAATGGTCTGAAATGGTTTGAAACGACGTCAGGGGACACCTTATGGGCTATAAAGCACAGAGTGGATAAAAAGTAACAATCAATTAGTGGTTTATCACTTTTAATTTGATCTCGTTCATTAGCTTAGAAGGATTTGTCACTTATGTATTTTAATGATATATTTAAGTCATTTATAGTGTGTTCCTATAGTGTTGGGCGTAAATACAATCCTTCTCATTTTTATTTTAAAGCTTTGTGAAGTGAATACAATGTTTTGACTTTTTACAAAGTATTTGAGCGCAATCATGCTATATCAAGAAACCATTAATTTAATGGAATTTTTGTTCTTTTGTTTATCGTTGAAGCTTCGTATTTTCTTTCAGTGACAAACATTGGTGATAAAATGTTCACGTCTCGGTCTCACGCACTGCAATAGAATAACCTAACACTGCATTTTAGATTTGTGTCAACAAAATGGCTTTGACAGACAAAAACCTGTGTGTGTGTGTGTGTGTGTGTGTGTGTGTGTGTGTGCTTTAAAGCGTGAAATGAAATGTTTCCCTTTTGATACATTTGTGATCAAACTTATTGCAATCTCTCTTCAAGCAATGCATACAAACTACATTCAAAACATCTCAAAATATTTTATGGATAACCTTATCTTATATCTCTTATTAAAATCCCATTGTCTATTTTATGGACATAAAAAGAAGATTGCAAGACTGAATCAGTGGAATAAACCTTCTCCCAATAGGCCGTAATATTTACTATTCATTAAGAGATCTTTAAACATAAACTACACTCGCAATTTTGAAAATGGTCTGAAACGACATCGGGGACATCTTATAAACCATATGGCACAAAGATGATAAAAAGTAACTATCAATTAGTTGTTTTACACATTTAAATGGTCTTGCTCATTAGTTTAGAGGAATTTGTCACTAAGGCATCCTAATGATATATTTCTTTGTCAGTGTGCCTTCAAATTATTTTGGGCGTTAATACAGTGCTTTTCTTTTACACATTAAAGCTTTGTAGGAGGCATACAATGTTTTGATTTTTTAGTGTTTTCGAGAGTAAACACACTACATCAAGAAGCCATTAATTCAATGAAATTTATGTTTTGTTTATGGTTACAGCTTTGTATTTTGCTTCCAATGACAAACATTAGCGATGAAGTGTTCATGTCTCAGTATCACGCACTGCAATAGAATTACCGAGCAGTGCATTTTAAATTTGTCTAAAAAAGGCTTTGATGGACAAAAACGTGTGTGTGTGAGCTTTATAGCGTGAAATGAAATGTTTCCCTTTTGATTAATATGATACATTTGTGAATCAAACACAATCTCTATTTAAGCAATGCATACAAACTATGTGCTTCAATCAGAACATCGCAAAATATTATGTATGATTTTTATCAAACGACATCAGGGTACACCTTATGGGCTATAAAGCACAAAGTGGATAAAAAGTAACAATCAATTAGTGGTTTAACACGTTTTATTTGATCTTGTTCATTAGCTTAGAAGGATTTGTCAGTAATGTATTCTAATTGATATATTTAAGTCATTTATAGTGTGTTCCTATAGTTTTGGGCGTTAATACAATCCTTCTCATTTCCATTTTAAAGCTTTGTGAAGTGAATACAATGTTTTGATTATTTTACAATGTATTTGAGCGTAATCAAGAAACCATTAATTTAATGAAATTTCTGTTCTTTTGTTTATCGTTGAAGCTTTGTATTTTGCTTCCAATTACAGAGATAAAATGTTCTCGTCTCGGTCTCATGCACTACTCTAGAATAAATTAATAATGCATTTTAATGGCTTTGATGGACAAAAACGTGTGTGTGTGTGTGTGTGTGCTTTATAGCGTGAAATGTTTCCCTTTTGCTCATTATGATACATTTGTGAATCAAACACATTGAAATCTCTCTCCAAGCAAAGCTTACAAACGAAGAAGTACAATGAAACTATCGCAAAATGTTATAGATGATTTCAATCTTATATCTATTGTTGAATTCCTTATGTCTATTTTATGGACATTAAAAGAAAATTGGGAGCTTGTATCAGAGGAATAAAACTGCTCCCAAATTAAAGTGATTACCTCTTTCACAAGGTCTTTAAGCAAAAATTAATCTTACCATCTCGGGTTTAAAAAAAGATCAAACAAATAAAATAAAAATGAATGAAATAATATCTGTAACGCAAATACGGTTTAGAGTAATTGTTTATTAATAAAAATATGTAGCAGCTGCATAAAAGCTCCTTCTTAAAGTTTTAAGTCTACATTTTCTTGGGATAAATTTTAAAAGTTTATTAGCAGGGTGAATAGTGTCGTTCATATTTTATTCGGGTTTAGAGGCCACCCTTTCCATAAAACAATATTTTAAGAGAGGGGAGATCCAACCCTCACATTTCTTCTGCAGGTCTCGGCAAGTCCACCTTATTTACTAATGTCCTCCTCTGTGGCAGGCACATACCATACTGTCATAGCAAAAGTTAAAACATCGTCTAAAGTTAAATAAAACTAATCGGTTTCTTGTTTAATCCCTTTTAAAGTAAACTCTTTGTCTCGTTTATCTAAGCTGTTTGTGTATGTATTAATTCCATGTCAAGATGCAATTAAGATCAACTCCAAGCCATGTAAAATCTCACTTTTGCTTAACTACAGGGCTACATATGTAAACAGGCTTATTTTCATTCTTATTCTTTCTTAATTCTACTACCATTTATTCCCAATATTCAGAACAAGGTAAAAATTGTAACACCATTCAACCACTGATTCAATATTACGTCTGCATTTGGTCTCGTGGTTATCACTAATCAGCCCTATGAATGTTGTATAATCAGTTAACTTTATAATAGATGTGCTTTAATGGTTGCTCACACAAACATATGTGAACAGGCTATATATGTAAGCATGGCGATAAAACACGGCCCTGAGGTGTTGAATTCAAATTGAATACGGTTGCCTTCTTGACGCCGCTTGGTAGAAATTTCGGACTTAATCTTCTTAACTTTGTCAGAAGAACCGTGTACTTCACTCTTTAAGCTTTCCAACTCAGACGTTACCTGAGCCTTTAGAACTGGTCGAATGAACAACTATCGTAACTTACCCACAATTCTTACCAATAGCAAAACTAAGACAATAAATACATACACTAGGAGAAAATAATTCCATTCTTATTCACTTCGCTCAGCCGAATAGAATTATATATATTTCTCTGTTCACAGACAACAAAACCTTTACACTCCATTTTCCGCTTTTGGATTGATGGCTCAAGTATGAACAATACCCGAGGGTAACAATCACAGGTTGATGATATCCACGTGAATTTACTAATACTATTGCTTACAACGGCTTCACTACACATTTGCTTCACTACATTGTTACTTATGTAAACAGGCTTCTTTTCAAATCCCAAAACCAAAAACGGTATTTTTTCCCCAAAATGGCGCTTCAGCGTCTTCCGTTGGACACTGCACTTAATGTTTATCTCTAATTGACCTTTTTGGGAAGTGTTTTATATTTTTATAAAAACTTATAAGAACAGGAAACTGTTTCGTTTTACTACTTCTGGTCTTAACGATGAACAACAGCTGGAGGTAACCATAACAGGTTGATGATATCCACGGTAAATTTATCAATACCATTAAAGCACAAAGAGGATAAAAAGTAAGGATCAATTATTAGTATATTCCTCATTTTATTTGATATCGCTCCGTGATCATTTAGAAGGATTTGCCCCTAATTTGTTTTCAATGATTATTTTTCTATTGATTTTGTTGTGTCATCCAATAGTTTTTGTTTAGTAAACAGTGCTTCTCATTCAAATTCAAGCTTTATAGAAGCAATGTTTTATATCGTGATTTTTACAATGTATTTCAGCATAAGCGTATTACAAGAATGACGGTATTAATTTAATGGGATTCCTCTGTTCGTTTTGTTTTTCTTTGGAGCTTTGTATTTTGCTTACAGTGACAAACACTGATAACAAAGTGGTGCTTTTTGATCATTAGAATCTATGTTCAACCAATGCATTCATACTACTGTAAAATCAAAATATCACAGAATATTTTTTTGTCTTTTATGAACGATAAAAAAGACTGTGAGCCTGCACCAGAAGAATAAATCTGCCCCCAAGGCACCTTAATATTTACGACATCATTTTAGCATAAAGAGAAACAAAAATATTTTTACTTTACACAAAAGAAAATAGAAAAAAACTATTCCACCTTTATATTCACTTTGTTGAAATTCAAAATCGTTTTCATATTAAGAGTTTGTAAAGCAGGTAAATCATTCATAAGATTAAATGTCGCGGCAAAGAATATTGCAATCCGAAGCTTTCATTGTTTGTTTCCTGACCTATCTTTGCTCACTGATCGTATAATCTATCTCATTTTCATTAGACTGGATACTTTTCTCCGTAAGGCAGGGCGGACTGTCATGTCACTTTAAAGGCATATTAAACGTGTGAGTTTCCAAAATGGAAAACAAATAAGATTTTATGGTCATAAAAATGAAAAAAATACATCATCGTTTTTTCAAACGACTTGATTTTGGGTCGGTTGTTATATTGGATACTTAACAGGAGGCGAACATATTTATCTTTCCTACATAAGTAATGCCCCATGTTTCAAGGTTTTTTTTCTAAAATGGATGAGGAGAGATGACTTTTCCGTGCGTGGAGCCATTCAAATAGCAAATAAAAATGCCTTTGCTCACATGTGATCTCTAAATGTGATACTGAACGAATAAAAAAAGGAACTTTTATGTCATCACTCACCAGTACGATGTCCAGATTGGAAACCCATACGCCTGTCTTTTCAGGTGACGAGTATTGGGTGACGTCCTGCTGACTATCTAACAGGTCACAGCGCCGATCTCGCTCTCTGAATACAACCGCTGCACAATAATCATTTTGGGAACATTTAGTGATGCATTCCAAATTGGAACGTGCATCTACACTGTCCAAAACCTGCGTCACAGTTGTGAAATCTGTAAAAACTTGTTGAATACCCCGTGCCTGGACATCTAAATTGCCGCCACAAAGTTTGACGGTTGCCGCATAAACGTCAAGAAATAGACAAGCCGCTACCATAAGACAGTAAACGGCAATCAACGTATTCCCCATATTGTCGGGGGTTCATCTCCAAACTGTGCCTGGTTTACGGAGTGTGAGCGCTTTAATAACCGTATGCAAAACAGAAGCAACAGAGGCGAAGTTTATGGCGCATGCGTGACAGTAAATTGTCAGCGGACGGATAGCGGTAATGTACGCAAATACAGCTTGTGCGATGCTGCGTTTTACCGATATAAATATGGTGCTTTGAGTTGCCATTTGATATAGAAGAATTCAGTTTAAAAGGTAAAAATATATTTTGGTGTAAAAAAAACTTACATCTTATATAGAATATCTTTAAAGAGAAATGTGTAAGAGGTATGTCGGTACCGATAAACCACCCCCTTGGTAACTTGTCTTGTCCAAAAGGGTATTAACCTTTTAGCAACCTGTTTAAATGAAATATGCAAATAATTTCACACAAAATCAACTCAACGAGCGAGTGTTTTAAGTCACATTTCGGCAATTATCTCTCACGTCTTTATTGGTCCCTTTACGCTGTTAAAAATAAAACATTGTTTATTGACAAACATGCTGTTAAAAATTAAAATTAAAGTTAAAAATGAAATTATGCACAGTTACGAAACCTAGATACGAAATGCAAGTTTATTGATTGCGATACGGTAACTAGTAAGTGCATCAATTCAGTTAATGGTTGGCTTAATCGGGTTTAGAATACAGAAGCAAATCAATAACGCAAACATGCAATAAGAAACATTTCATTTCTGTTACAGCGTCACATACATAAAAACGAAAACAAAAAGTAATGAAAAGTACTGCAAAAACATTCTTTTATGAAGGTACAAAGGCGTCGATGTTTAATTTATGCCTTGTTACAGACTTGTATATCAGTAGGTGTCCAGGAAAATTTCTTCTGCCATCATATTGCTTGCACTCCCCCAGGCGGTGAAGGCGTTTTCCCCACTGTATCCAGAACAATGAGACACGGCAAAATTCAAAGTGATGTCCCCAGCTGGCAGACCCACACATGTTCCTTGTACTGAAATGAATGGTTAATGAATTAAAACTTTGTTTGTGTCTATGTGCGCTCAGGCCCGCGCGCCCGTGACAGCAAGGGGGGTGGGGGAGAGAAAAGATATTGATGTAAAGACTCGTTTACCAATACAAGCGAAATTAACCTTCTCTGTAAAAAGTGCTGAAATATCACATTTTTGTTACATCAAGGTCTAACTCTCATTGTTCAGTCTAAGGTAAGTTATAGTTCCAATATACCTGTGAATGGGCTATGTAAATTGACAGAGCTTGCATCATAGTAGTAGGCGTATTTAACACTTTCTATGGTGCCTGGATTGCTGCACTCTGTGCCGTTAAATGTAAAGTACCACCGGGCACATTGGCCGTTGTTCCACTGACGGGTGTCTCCATTCCATAGGACTCTCAGAGCAGTAAGAGCAGACTTCTTGCTATATGTCTCACTCTGAAATAAAACCATTCCATAACAAAATCTCCAAAGAGTCATGGACCAAGGTATGATAACATCCCAAGTGTGACATCAGTCAAAACAAGACCAGTGTGACAGGAATGGTAGTCTTAGGAATGGATGTCCGGGGTCTCGTATGGTTAGCACCGGTATAACAGGAATGGAAGTCCTAGGAATGAAAGTCCGGGCTCCATATGATTAGTACGGGTAAGCACAAAGCAATGGAGATAGGACTACAGTTTTTAGCCGGCACCCATTCCAGTCATAACGGTGCCAACTTAGCGCTTAAAGCTTTAACCTACCAATCTGGGGAAGTTCAAGAGTGGCACGGAATAAAGTAAACAAAATTAGTGTGGTTTTGCTTGTAAAATATATCACTTAACGTACAATCAAGATAGTTTAACATTCTTAACAAATTAAGTCGACTAAGTAAAACACTAATTTATTTTGATCTAAAAAACAAGTGCTTTCATTCATGTATTTGTCCCAGTATTGACAAAAAAATTACTTTGACCGTTGTCCTTTCCGAATCAAAATTCATCACAGGGTACCACCAGTACTGGCGATTGAAGACGGGGAGCCTAAGAGCCGAAATGCCGGATGTTCCCACCACTGAAACAAAAGCAATCATTTCAGCATACACATGTAGCCAAATCAATGACGTATCTCACAAAACTTGCTTTTCAGAACGTCTCCACATAAAAACTCAGTTTTAGTTTTATTCATTAATGGTTAAATGCAAGTATATAATAGAGAAGGAGCAACCAATAAATCCGTTGTGAAATGTAACCAACTAAAGTACTAAAGTATACTACATTTTGCTGCTAATAGTCCAGTAAATAAGTGTCTGAGGTTGGAAAAATAATAATTAAGTTCTTTTTTGACTGATTCTAGTCCACTTGGGGGGGGGGGGGGGGGATAGAGCCCAGATTATTTCCCAATATGACCTTGACCTCCGATGATTAACAAACTATTGTCCTTTGATTTCGTACTTTTAATTTTAATTTAATACCTTATTAAGACATTCAAAAGGTGGTCATTTGAATGCGGTACTTAGTAGGAGCTACCTGTAGAAAAGTTACAAAATTGCATTTTCGTGAAAATAAAGTATGCTCAGCGCCTTTACTCTTATTTTGAGGTTCACTTTGACATTTTGAGTGACCTTGACTTCTTAAGGGTTCCAAATTATTTCACTGGCTGACCATACCTTTCTTTATTCGAAATGAAGGATCTAAGTTATTAAGGTGCAAACTTTCGATTGCATTTGAATACCCTCTTTGGCCTTTTGGATTTTGGTCAAAAAGTAGACTTTGCCATGGGCGGATTCAGGTAGGAAATGATCTTGGCCTTATTGGGGTCCTAATGTTGAGAAACCCTTTCGTGACATTTTACTTGTTTCAATGAAATAATCGCTACTATACTGGTCTATAGCGGTAATATGTCCCATAACAATCATATGCCATATTACTGTATGTCCTATGCTGTGTGCGGTTATCACACTGGAAGCGCAGCCACATCTATACTTACGAGCGCTGACGTCAACGCCAAGTCTAGTCTCTTCCACTCTTATTCTAGAAATGGTGGTCCAGCCGGTCGTAGGGCTATGTTGGCCACCCGTCCAGCTACAACTCCCTGTATGTAGGCTTATTGTAACGTCTCCGGCCGAAAAACCGTTACAGATTCCAGAAACTGAAAGCAATAATATCTATAATTAGTATTTAATATAATCTGTGGCTAATGACAAATTATCTGATTGTATAGTGGCACTATTATATAGGTTTACTTAAGGTGTTAAAATTCAGAATGTTTCGATGTCAAAGAATCGCATTTAATTTATGATAACTGTGAGTTATGAAAAATGCCCCCTTCTCCACCTACCTTCCAGTTATATACACTTTTCAGTTAATGCTCTTAATACAACTTATTCACTTATTTCAACACAAACAGACTTCGTTGGTGACACGTGTGGAAAAAAATTCTCTTGCTACTAAATCTGCAACTGTTTGGCAACTTTTAACTTAAAAGCTGATTATGTTCAAAATAAGATCCATCGAACACATGATTTTAGTTTGATTGGTCCTAGGTTTAAATATCTTTTTTCGTAAAATATAGAGATGAGACTATTTAATTAGGTAACTTGCACGCATTAACTACCCGAAAAGACGATAATTAAACAGAATTTTCACTTGTCTAAGTTTGTTTCGAGTTTCAACTAAAATGACTGTGCTTACACTCAAATGTCCTGTAGGTGTGTGGATTGTTATCGCCGTTGTTATATATGAATGCGTCGATTATCCCCGGATTTGAGCACTCATTTCCATTAAACTTAAAGTACCATCTTGCGCAGTGACCATTTCCATACTCGTGAAGCGTGCCAGTAAAGAACACTGCTAAACTAGTGTCCGATGCCCGCTTTGTGTAGGTTTCCGTCTATAATTTAAACACAGTATATAAATATAAATATAAACATGATGTTCTTACCAACCGTTATTTTGTTTAAAATGTCGCCTTATACGTTCTATAGAATCATTCTATATACTAACGTATGAAGTGAGCGTAGTTTCCCTGTGAGACTTATAAATCACTGCTACTACTACGGTTTCTTATACGACTTAAATTAAGTCCATATGCCAAAACATAATCAAAATTAATCACTCGATCAGCCATAAAAACTGAAAAAGCACATTTTATTTAAATTTCTGGTCGTAAACTTGACCTTCTCTGTCCATGTAGTTCGTAAAAGGCCGCCAAATGACGTAGCAATATATGACGCATTCCTGCTGCGCGCGCAATAGCACAATAATTCAAATGCGGTTTGGCGAAGACGATAAAAGGATATATCTAAATACATGTCATTTTTTCAGAAATATGAAACGAAAACCACTGAAAATTTTTGATATTCCCTTGAAGTTTGCTATTTGAAAGTGTATGGTGGCATTTAATCATATGTATTGGCAAAGATTTGACTTCATATGCGTATATTTGGCATATGTATTATTATAAATTGGCTTTATATTTGCATCCTCTAGAAAATCAACGCTGAATCTTTACATACCATGTATGCATTTTCATCTCGTGTTGAAATCTCCTGGTGGAGGGTAAACTCTTTAACGTTGAACAAAGTATATGAATCACATGACCCTGAAGAAAAAATAAGAGTAATTCATAAGAGTTATTACCGCGAGCGCACGTTTGTGTGTTGGCATCTATGGCTGATTTCTCTAGAAAGAAACATACTGTTTCTTACAATAACCAAAATTGAATCAAGAATTATATTGAAAACACATATAATGACAATAACGAGCACGGTCATATTCAGCTTAATTTACCAGTGCCGGTTGGTCCTATCTCCTCAAATGCGAAATACCCGTATGAGTTCCATCCCATGTGAGCGTCCGCCCCACCACCCCTGTCTCGGATGTGTATCTGTATGGTGAGAGTACCTGCAGCAATTCCCCAGCAAATACCAGAGACTTTGAGAAAATATAGAAAATGCGTTAAAACAGAACATCGCCCACACTCAAAATTGACATATTTCTAATCAGTGGAGTTTCTAAAGTTGCATTGCTAACCAAGTTGCATTGCCCTGTTTTATAATCACTCATCTCAGCGGGACGTCTGATGATGATAAGTTTTTTTTAGCTCACTATAGAATACAAATCTGGTTCCTGTGATGTACCCTATACTATAGCAATTGATTTTATTTGTCAGCAGTCATCTGGTTTCCTGTGCCAAGTAAGCCGAAATCAGACGGGAAACACACCTTAAGTGGACCTAAAGGTTTGAGACGGTTAAACATTTTTTCCAAGTGTCCCAACACAATTTAATGGTTATTATTCGATATGCAGTAGGTCCCAGAAAAAGTGTTTTAGCAACATTGCAGATTAATTTCGAATTAAAATCAAGTGTATGTTGGCTTTTCAATTTTTGATACTGAATTTCCGTAGATGGCGTCCTATATCTTTTTTGGACATTCAATGTTGTATGTTCTTTTTTTTTTTTTTTTTTTTTGGGATATTCTGGGTAAAAGCTATTTGTGAATTTTTGACCTCATCACCAATTTTCTACTTTTTACTGATCTTAACTCAAAGTTTCAAACACAAGCACACATCAAAATGGCCATAATGACATAACGTCATATTTTAAGAGCAGTTGTTACATGAAGGCAACAAGATTTCCGAGAAACAATCCCGTCGATAATACAAAAACATGATTTCTAACATGACTATATATAATTACATGATCCGTGCTCGTGCTTGTCTCTGCGTGAGGCATGGTACTCCACAAATTCGATGGTGCCTGGGTTGGAACATTCTGCCCCGTTAATCTTGAAGTAGAATCCAGTGGCACAACCGTTACACGCTATGGCGGCGCGGATTGTTCCACTGTAGGAAATTCGAAGCCCGGTGCTGGACTGTTGCTTTACATATGTGTAGCTCTGAAAGGTAAATAGATATAAAGGTTAATCATTTTCGACGAAATCATCCCTTGACTCAAAACAATGAAAACACAATTCCACGGAAACGATCTCCTCTTGCTTTTTATGTATGCTGACAATTTTTTTGTTTTTCTGATCGAAATAATTATGACTGAAAGGCACCCATTAAAGGACAATCTTCGAATTTATGCAGTGATTGGACACATACACACACACACACACATACACACACATACACAGAGAGAGAGAGAGAGAGAGAGAGAGATCAACATCCCCCCCCCCCCCCCCAGAATATTCCTTACCGGGCCGTCGCCGTTTACGCCTCCAAAGCTGCTCGGATAACCTTCGTAATGAATATTGGTCACCGGTGCTTCGTCACAATCTTTCGTATTTCCTAATAGATTCACAAATTATGGCTATCAGCACTTAGCTCTTGTTGCTATATTTTGAATTTCATGACATACTATGTTGAATATACCACAGTCTGGGAAAAAACGGGCCTCTTGGGCTTACTTACGGTAGAAACTTTCAAAACATTGTTCAATATACTTTAGATTAGCAGGAATCAAGCCACAATATGCAAGACAATCGTAGTTTAAAAAAAATTCTTTATCATTCCCTGATTCAACAGGTTTTGCCTAACAGGCGACAAACTCTTTACTGACATGGAATAAATGCAACAACTCCCATCCCCTCCCAATATGGTGAAAAGTATTCTCACCCAAACAGACGGCCTCTCCGCTGGTGCAATCCTCACGGCAGCGAGAAGTATCCGTACACGGCCATTTTGAACACACGGCAGTGCCACTTGACTGGTCGGTGCGGAGCGGGTTTGACTGTAACGGGAAATATATAGAAACAGCTAAGTTAGAACCAAATTCTGCAAATTTCGTGATCTTTTTTTTTATTTTCAATTTTGATAATTTAAGTTTTAAAGTTGGTCCGAAATCAGGGTAAAACTACTACGACCCTCAATAACTATGTAACAGCGCACTACACCATTCAGATCCAAACAGATCTTAGACTGGGTTCCCATACCTAGATAGATCTAACAGGATCGATCCATCTCCAAGGGGTTTCTCGCTAAGTTGCTTTCACCTTACGCGGCTTAGATGTCTGGCTTGCCTACTGAAGCTGCTAAACGATAATTAACTACCCCCTAGCAGCCTCAGTAGGCGTGACAGACATCTAAGCCGCTAAAGTTGATTGCAATTTAGCGAGAATCCCCTTAGGGACAGATCGATCAACAGTTAGTTCGATAGGGTCTGGGAATGGCCCCGTAATGATCCAGTAACCGACTGTTTGACCTGACGGCAATTCACCAATGTATTTGTCAGGGATGTTGGCTGTGCAGGCACCCCTTCCGCCTAAATAAGAGATAAAAGATGTCCAGATTGTGACACAATTGATTCTAACGGAGATATGTCAGGGACAAACATGTATCTCTATACATAGAGCACGAATAATAATATAAAGAGTACCAATCAATTCTTGGCATCCCTCCTCCTTTTTGTTCTCCTTCATTTGTTTTGACGGATGTGTCCCAAATGCATTTCAATGATTAATTTTTATTAATCAATTTTTACCTTTTTGGTGTACCTTGCAATAGCTTTTGGTTTGAAACGAAATGTATACCTTTTGATCAACTTCAGTTATAATACATTTGTGAATCACAAGCATTGATATTACACTACACAGTACTGAGTACAATTAATGCTTAGGAACTACAGACAAAAATGTTATGAATCGTTTTCAATACTAAATTCCGGTATCTTCTGTAAAAATAAAATTGCATTGTCTACTTTATGACGCGTGGTTCTTAGGAAGGTAAAGGAAGAGTGCATTGCTGTCCTTCAGACACCAAGATATGTGAAAGTAAAGGCCGATATTTTTAGAAAGAATTTATTTTTTGTCTTAAGGCAAACAAAATACTCGTATAACCCAGCTTTCTTAAAACATAATTATCTTTCATTTAAATTGTTTCGAAATAAGGTAACTAATTCAATATATATATATAGTGCATGCCATGGCAAAGAATATTAGAATTCGATAAGCGTTTATTGTTTGTTTACTGATCTATCGGTTCTCGCTGATTGGGGTTATTATGCAATCTCGTATTATGTCAGTTATTTTCATCATGAATACTTGATAAAGAGCAGATCAATAATGTGATACTTCCACTTCGCTTGGTCTGGGAACTGGGTTTTTGCAAGAATAAAGATACGCGATGTAGATCTGCACTGCTTGCTTGATCTTGTGGTGTTTAAATCATTTTGTACCCCCTCCCCCTCCCCCCCCCCCAAAAAAAAGTTTTTTTACACATTCTCCTGGCTTCCCCTACAATTTTCTTCGTGCTCATAACTCATGTATACATTTGTAACTCTACTGTTTTTTGACATTAGGATTTGAAAGATGCGGTATCTCAGATTTTGACCTCAGATTTTGATCGAACATTATGTTTTTAAGTGATGGAGACTGACGAGCATAGGAGGAAAGCCTGCGCTCACATTTTATTGAAAAAATGTGAAAAAATTTTATAGAGATTTGCAGAGCCTTGTGACTCGTAGTGATATGTGCTCTTGCAAACTAAAAAAAACAAAACTGGAACCAAATGTTAAACCAGAAATCGTGATATTGCGTGACCGGGGTACTGTGAAACGCGAATTTAGGAAAAAAGTTAACCCATTACCATAGCGTAATCATATTTTATCTATTATTTGCGGCTGGTAACATTGGCTTTGTGATTTCAAGGTTTTTGTCTCGCTAAAAAACAAAGTCATACCCATATATTTTCCGTCCCAGGGAAGTGACATGAGCCCGAGTCCAGAAAAGTCAAAATTGTCTACATGTACTTTACATAACGAACAGCAAAAACAGTTAAAATAAAGACAAGCAAAAAGGGTTGTGAAAATTTGTCTCTTTCCAACTACGAAGGTAGACACATGACCTCAATGTTGTTCAATCAAATTAAATTTAAAAAGCCATTTAAACCACACGATGAAATATTGCACCGAATCTTTACAGAAAAATGCCTACTGTTACTTGAAATAATTTGATGTACTTCTTTCCGTCAACATTATTCACGTGAAGTTTTTAAAGAAATGACTCAAACATAACACATCCAATTATAACATTACACCAAGAATACATGTACCACTACATCAAGCGTCGTTAATAATGAAAATAAAAATGAGAGATTACCTTTTACGTTTTTGCAACTATTTAAATAGCAAACAGAAGCGCCTTTGCTGTGGTCACTAAGATTAAGATAAAATCACTACAAACGGGCACGCTCTTTTCCGATGACAACACACGGGGAACTTTTATGTGGTCACTCACCAACACGATGTCCACATTGGAGACCAATATTCCTGTTTTCTCAGATGACGAGTAATGGGTGACGTCCTGCTGACTATCTAACAGGTCACAGCTCTGGTCTCTCTCTCTGAATACAACCGCGGCACAGTGACCATTCTGGGAACATTTAGTGATGCATTCTAAATTGGACCGCGCGTCTACGCTGTCCAAAACCGTCGTCAAGGTTGAGTAATTTGTAAAAACTTGTTGAATTCCCGTTGCCTGGACATCTACTACATTACCGCCACAAAGTGTGACGGTTGCCGCGTGGACATTGAAAGATAGGCAAACCAAAACACAGAAAACTGCAAAGAGCACTCTACACATATTGTCGGATGTTTTCCTCAAACTGTGCTTGTTCATGGGACATGTGTGCTTAAATAATGCCAAGCTAAGTAAGAGAACAAATTCATCCACTTTTCTACAATGGGGAGTCTTTGTCAACATCCTTTAGAATGGTAAATAAATAATTAACCAATTTATGTGCGTTCTTGGAGAACTAATCAATGTATTCAATACACCGACATGAATATCCATTGACAAACCTGATTCCATTGTTGACATTACAAGCACACATCAATCAGAGATTAAGTAATTCATACAGGCCCTTCTTAATAATCAAATGAACACGGGCCAATAAAAGGGAAGACATAAAGAGAATAAAGAAAAAGCTAAGTGCAATTGATCTAAAAATATCAACATAACTTACTGGGGACCACCTAAAGTGTGTGCATCTAATCCGTTATTAACTGATATATCTTACGCAAAATTAATGCTTGGTTCATTAACTGAGTCTTAACTGTATTCATGTTCTGTCAACAAGAATGCGTCATCAAAGGTCACAATGTTTTTTTCAACAGCTGGCATAAGTATTGGTATAGCATCGTTATTATTAGAATAAAAAAACTTTAACCATAGTCTCTAATTTTTATATCGAATTTGTATGCAGATTTCGATCAGCAAATTGTTCAGGTGTCTCTTTGAATTTTACAGGAATTATCGACCACCAAACTATCAACATTGAGTTCCAAAGCCAATAATACACATAAATTTGTTAACAATTCGATAACACCCATCAACTATTAATAATAACTTAAATAGCTCTACCAGTCTTTGCTTCATTTGACTAAGCCAAATGTATGGTTACTTGTATTCCCTGTATTTTCAATTCAAGTAAAATGGTTGAAATAGGGGTCATGATGTTAAGACACTGAAATTAGGACACAGTATAATTGCCTCGACCTGCAATATATTACGTTGATATTTAGTACTGTGTTTGTTTATTTGACGTAGAAGATAAGTGCAGCGTCTATAGCAAGCACTAAACGCGTCAAAGCATGAAGCTCGCGGTAGTAAGTAATTGGCTTATGGATTATATAATGACGGGTATTGATTTAGTAGAAGTAAGTGCAATTACCGGGGTACCTAGATTGGCTTAGAAACATCCGTTTATGTTTTACACGCTGATATAATAGGTTTTAGTTAACGGCACTGTACATAGTCAGAACCGGAATCAGTACAAATACAGCAAAGATGACTTCCAAGTACCTGCTACTCCTGTGTTTGTTTTCAATCGCCTTCAGTGAAGTGAATGGTCATTTTCTCTTCGGACCAAGTCCGGACATCCTACCGGCCGAAGGTACACAATCTTGAACGCTCATGCGTGCATTTAAGCATCCGTCAATCTTATTTTGTATATTAAAACAATTTGATTATGAGTTTCTAATATGTTTTGTGTGTATGATTCTATGTACATGTAAGTACTTTTTACATCTGTCATCCTTGAGGTGGTAATAAATAAATAAATAAATAAATAAATAAATAAATAAATAAATAAATAAATAAAAGAGAACTGTGCATTTGGATTTCCGCCTTTGCAATTTTTTTAGGATTGTATTCCATTTAAATGTTAGTGGGATTTCAGATTGTACAAAAAGAATCAGGAAATCCTGAGGTGAAGAATTTGTATAATACCTAAGTACGTTCAAATTCATTCTAAATCATTTTTTGAATTCCTTCAAGATGTTTCGGACGAGTGTAAGCAGATGGCCAAGGAAGGCATCTGCGAGTACTGGAACTGTTTTATAGATAGATGGCGCTGCAGTGGGTCACATAATTTCCAGGAGAAGAGCGCTAAGAGATACTGTGAAAACTTACGACAGAACTACGCCAAATTTGATGATGAGGTTTGGATTATAAATGATTGCAAAAGTATCTTATAATCATGTCCCACCAGTCTCAAGCGTGTAGTGATTAATGCTTTTGTCTCATAGTTTATTAATTTCTATTCTTAGCAAAATTTTAGAAATTTTAACACTACTGATTTTTTTCGTGATTTGCAGGTAAATGTAAATCTTAATTGTCTCTGTTGCATTACATCTGCAAAACATGAATGTATGCTTTGTTTAAAAACTGTTGTTCTAATATACACTTTTGCCAAACATTGTACATTTTCATTTATGAGAAATTTCAACACATTAAATGTTTTTAAAAAATAAGGCCTACTTTTTAATGAAATAAAACTGTCTCTTCTTCGTGTGTTTGTGTGTATATTCTTTTATTGCACAGGGGAAAAGGTTTGTCAACGAATCAATCAAGTGTTTGATGCGGAAATTTCTCCCCAAATACAACGCTGATACCAACCAGTGTTTTGCATTGGAGCAGTTTGGTGAGAAGGAACACCCGAAATGTAATCTGAATTATGGTTTCTGCACTGCCGTGAAGACTAACGCAATCAGCGCCATGAGACACGCATATGGGTACGTAAGTCGAAAACGTTCGCTGTAAGCTCATGTTTATCTACAAATTATCCCCCAATTATCTTTGATTGTATGTAATCGTACAAGTGCGTGTTCAAGCGACCCACACTTGTTTGTATTGCCTCTCACTGCTGCAACCATAATAAAATAGAATGTGAATGCTAGTAATGTATCGATACGTTGACTTAGACCAACATGACAATTGTTTGGTAATGCCTCAAGTTTGACAAAGGTTTATATATTATACAAAAAATGCTTACACGGAGAATTTCATTTAATTGTTTTCATTTCAGAGCTTCTGACACCCTTCAACTTTTCAAGACGCTCTCCCTCTGCGTTAAACAAGGAATCATTGTGAGCGTTTGGGAATTATTGGTCAAAATTGTTCCCGGACTGTCCAACTTCATGCAGCTGCCCCACCAGTCTCGTTAAGATATACACTTTATACACGAAACAGAACTTCAGTTTGAGAGACGAAAGTTGTCATTTAAATCCAATTTAATCATATATTATGATTCTGTAGCAGATCGTAATTAAAGAATTTGAAGGCAAAGTGGTTACGTTATAGAGTACCTATTCTAGACATTTTCATCGAACTTACTTTTTAACTGTAGTCGTTCGGCATCAACCCCAAGCGCACTCTTTGCCCCCCTCCACCCCCCCCC